TCTGCACCCAGCAGATGCATGATTAAGCAAGCTCTGTTTTCAGGCATTTCTAGACATCTCTAAAGCCAGTTTGCATATCGACTTTCACAGGAGATGCTGCCAGTGGGCAAAAGCCTTAGAGGACATGGTAGGACTGCCCATCTCAGCATCTCATGGTGGCAGCAGTACCTGGGTTCACAGGTACTTAGATTCTTCTATAAACGCCAACTTCAGCAAGTGACAGAGAAGATGAGCAGGTCTCTCTCAGTCCTTACCTGAAGGAGCTGAATTTGCACATACTGTGCTCCAGTGGCAGGGTCCCTTATTGTCAGCCCTCCGTTTGGCAGAACAATGTTGCCACCCAGTCGGCTGCCAGGAATGGATGATGAAAAGCTGGTAGGACTTACTTTACCGCCCTTGCTTTTCCTCTGACCAGAGCCAGATGCCCCTAAGAAGAGTAATTTTAATACTTAAATTGTCGGATGTTTGCTATGGTTTCTTGCTCGAATTTTTCAGCTTCGTGTCGTTATTTATACTGTACCACTAATTAACACTACAGAGCAAACGCTTGGAACAGTGCAATATAATTATGTACCATCTGATAACTAAACAGTTCCCCAGACAGCACCCAGCTCATGAACTCCAAATGCTGACTGAGCAGTTGTCCTTTGCAGTAATGGCATTCAAACCACATCACAAATTGCTGGGCTTAGGGCTCTCCCTTCTGGTAGCATCAAAGCACCAGCCTATTTGTAGAGTTAAAAGAAAGGAATTGGAAAACGAGATTGCATTTCCTATTTCTGATTTTGCAACTCATTTCCCAAGTAGTCACATGAATCACTTTTGCAAACTGTAAAATGAGCACTATGAAGCTCATCTATTTCCAGAAATATTTCAAAAACTACTAGAGGGAAGAGGCTGCAAAAGTACAAAACCACTATCACTCATGACCCTGGTGGCTAAACACATACAAAGCTTTAGAAGCAACTGCTGTTCTTTCAGCCACTTGCTTTTACTCCACATCAGCATCTGTCTTACTGAACAAACTCGGGAAGCTGAGGGGGGTAAATCCCCTAAAAAAAATCCCCAAACAAATCTGGCCCTGGACCAGCAACTGCTGGACCCAGGCAGTTCAAACCAACCTATCCCTGAACTGGCAGGATATCCCCCAAACAAGGAAGTTTCAAACCGAACAATATGAGCATGATGAACGGCCATTTGTCAATTAAGTTTTGTTCTGAAATCTACCAGCAACTATTTACCCCCTCCTTTTTACAGTTTAAATTTAAATATTCCTAGTTTTAAACAGTTCCTTTCACCAACCTCAATACTGAGGCTGGATTATCCAAGAAACCCATAAGCAAACCCATCTTTTTAGTCAAAAACAAGACAAACCAGTCTCACATACTGGAAATGAGAAATATAACCAGAAAAAATGCAAGGCTGCAACAGCTTCAGTTGTTTCAGTAACCCACGTATACCACATGCACAGTTCTATTAATTCACAATAAACCAAAGAGGGCGTTTAGAAAACACGCTCTCACTCCTGCTTCCATTCTACTGCCAGAAACGCTAAATAACTGTATTTATCAAATTTTTGCAGAAGGAATGCTTCTCACCTGTGCTGCTCCCATTCCCTTTTTGTTTTCGTTTCTTGGCCAGCTGAATAGCTCTGTAGTCTGTTCTCGCAGAACCACCGCTTTCCTAGCAAAAACAAAAACCCACAGAAGTTAGGACAGGAAGGTTTTCAACGCAAGAACAAACTAGGACAATGACACCAGCATAGTGGGCTACCAGCTGTGGTTACCTTTCATATTACAAACACTGAATTCAGTTTTCTAACTTCTTTTTTTTCTGATTAAAGTTTTAGCAAATTCCATGCACGCACTTACAAAATTAGCTCCGTATCTGTAAGCATCCAAATTTTAATAGGGCAAGCACTGTGACAGAGCAAATGTTTTGCACTGTAAACAGAGAGCTACACGTCAACAGCATTGTAAAGCAGGAGGAAGAGTATTGTAAAGCCAGAGAGAAGAGTATTTAAAAGAGTTCTGTGAGGATAAGGACTGAGATGAAAATGTTTCAGTTACTCTCATTAATACATAGGAGACAAACCATATATTCTTGTACTTGGGTTTTCTTATAAACCCCATTTCATCCTCAGAGGGCTACACTTTACACATGATTTTTTAAAATTCCCTTACTTTGAAATGTGCTCCCTTCACTCTCCCCACCAAAATTCAGTTTCTTAAGTGATAACATATTCCTGATGACATACTCTTCAACAAAATGTTTTACATCCTTCATCAGTAAAGGCAGAATATATCATCAGTGAAATAACACACAGGTCTGCCCATGAGGTATATGCAGCAATGGATATTATCAAAGTTAGGGTATCTGAGTCATCTCTGGGTAATGAACAGAGTTACTGCATACCAAAAATGAGCTGCCAGTCACTGTGCTGAGATCCATTTCTTTCTGAGCACTGTAGCTTCCTGGAGGGTTGGAGAAAACAAACTGAGTCACTACTTTGGTGCCCTCTTGTTGACCAACAACATCCGAGCTGGGGAGCAAGTTTCGTTCAGCTTTAGTTGGCGTTAGTAACTCAGGCACATTGGCACCACCGAGGCTACTAGAAGGAGTCAAAGTGGCTGTGTCAATCGTTAAATTATTGCTGGACGTCAACCCGTGCACATCCTGGCTGGAATTCCTCACCGACAGGGATGCCAGCGAACCCAAGGCTTCCGCGTTGACGGTCTGTACATCATCCAAGTTTAAAGTGCTTTGCTGCAGAACCGTCGCGCCGGTTCCCAGCAGGAGGGAGCTGTCCAGGCTCTGCGGCATGTCGCTGCTGGCCACCAAGATCAAGGGGTCGACCGCCTGGCTTAGAGAATTGGTGCTGACGGGCAGGTTTCCACCGAGCGTCGAGCCCACGGAAGCAACATCTATCGTGACGATGCCGGAGTTCACGAGCGCCATGTCCGAGGCAATTCCAGAATTGTTACTAGACACGTTGGAGAAGAGGGATACGAGGTCTATGTTGCTGAGATCGCTCTGTGCTGGGCTGGTGAGTTCACTGCTTGGTGTGAGGGAGCTGGTTGCTTCAAGCTGAGTTAAGAGATCTGAAAGGGAATACGGAAGAGGATAGATTTTCAACATCTTGAATCGCTAGGTCAGAGAGAATGCTACCACTTTTCAGGAGCAGGAATTCAGCTGTGGGGCTATAGAAACAGCCGATGGAAAATGGAAAAGCACTTGTCAAAAGGTAACACTAAAGCAGTCCAGACTACGTTAGGCTTTAGAGGAGTGGGAAGGGAACTGCGTTTGGTCTTTCCTTCTGTTTTACACCTGGCAAGGAGAATGACAAGGTCCACTTCATCCAAAAAAATTGTAATTTCTGAATCAACTTAGGTCAAGCTCAAGTCTCACTTTCTGACAGTTTCAGACCCCACTGAACATTTTGGTGGAGAAAAATAACTCTAGTCTTGAAGATTTTGCCATTCATATCAGTGGTGCTAAGACTTCACCATCAGTAAATATACATTTTATTTAACAAAACATTTAGTTTTTTCACTGCTCCTTCCCATAGGCTTAGAAAATACTTACCTGGGCTGAAGTTGTGCTGTTTTACCATATGTGTTTTCATGCTGTGTTTGGAAGTGAACAATTTATTACAGCTGGACACAGGACAGCGAGTCTTTAATGAGTCCACATCTTGAAGATGCTTTTTGGAGTGAATATACAGACTACTTCGTGCTGAGAATTTTGCACAACAGCCTGCAAGAAGATAGAAGACTTTAAAAATTCAGTTCACTCTACTGTTAATTTGACATTAATATTACTGTCCTAACAAAACAAAGTAGCTCTGAAGATCTCTATTCGCTATTTTGCAGCACCTAAGCATGCATTCTACAGTAATTTAGAGGAATCAGATGAAAGTCAAATCTAAATTTCTTTGTTTCATATGGAGCACAACTCGGTGGATAAAATAGTTCAGCAACCCAATTCTGACAGCAAGAAATTTAAATCAGTAATTCAGTAAAATGGACAACATTCCCCTACTATGTTATCTACAATGAAAAGATTTTTATGATGACTGCTTGCAAAATCCTAATAACAAAAAAAAAGGAAACCACAATCATCTCGTGGAGCTTGCTTACTTTAGAAAACAGAACATTCCACATGTGTGGAAGCTGTAGCATATAAAGGCTCAACTCCACACAACCCAAGTTGTGATAACCCAATTTTAAGCTACAGGCAGGTACCCCATGAGGCACATTTTACTTTCCCAAGGCCACAGCAAAGCTTGCACTCCAAATTTTTGTCTCTATAGAAACGTTCAGCTCTCAGTCAAGGTGCACTGCTGCAACAGTCTCCTCTTTCAGAAGAGGCTAAATGGCCCCTGCCCATGGGCTTGACCCAGCCACAGGCCCCAAACACTACAGTAACTCGCAAGTCACAACAAGAAGACATAGCCTTAAAATTGCTTGATGGGACCATTTTTTTTCACTACTTTCCATGAATGAAGTGAAAAAGCTGAGCTACAGAAACCGAGCATCAGGACTCAAATATTCCAGAATAAAGCTGCTTTGTTCATTTTAATTAAAAAAAAAAACTAAAAAAAACCTCATTGTTTCCTTAGCATCCCACAACCTTGAGAGTGATCACTCGATTACACATCATTCATTTAGTTTTAAATCTTCAGATTCTATTAGAAGAGTCACTCTAAATTGTCCCAGTCCTCTAACAAGTGTGCATCTGGAAAAAAAAGCATGCAAAGTCTCTAGACATGACAGAGTGAATGAAAGGATATATAAATAAAAATGTAATACCTTCTACTGGACACTCGAATGGTTTTGTACCAAGGTGAGTTATACTATGGCCCTTCAAGTGTTCTGCTCTTGTGAAGGACTTCCCACAGCCTTCTACTGGACACGTAAACCTCCTGTCATCTTCATGTTTCCTACAACGGAGGGAAAGGACCATTGGCAAGTTTAAATCAACTGCTTAAATACTGGAAACAAAACAAAACAAAAACAGAACTAGCGGCAAGGGATGATCTAGAACAGAGCAATGAGAAAAGGCTACCTTTTATGTCTCAGCAGCTTGGACATACTGGTGAAAGACCAGCCACAACCTTCAAAGTCGCAGATAAAAGGCCTTTCACCTAAAGTGGAGAAAGGTTATGTTAATAATTTAACATCAAAATCCACACTGCCGTCAAAAGACCTCAAAAGTTGATTAAACTGAATTATTTCAAGACAGCAAAATAACTCAACCACCTTCTCATTAATTGCAGAATCCTACAACACCTCCTTCCCTGCCATCCAACCTGAGACTTCTTTAACTTAGGACTATTACTTTTCCTGGGGACCACAGGACCTTGGTCTTTCTCCATTTTCTGCTCTTTTACCTTCAGCACGCACAATCCATCCTACCTTTTCATATTTGTTTTCTACAACCCCATCCTTCCCAGTGTTCTCCCAAAGCCTCTTTCCCAATAACCCACGACTATATTGAAGGCGTTTCGCTAATCCATACTAGCATTACTTAAAACAGAAACTGGACCAAAATGTTCTTGCCTGTTTTCATGACCTGTAATGTGATTCCACTTACTAGACAGGAAGCTCCCCAATATAGTTAGCTTTCACCACTTCTTTGACTTTTAAGACTTTTCTAAAGGACAGCAGAACAGCACTGCCAGGCCATGAAACACAAGGAAAACCCCAGCCAGGCTAGAGTGCACATAGTTGTTTTAAAGCGTCAAAAGATTGGTTTTCAGTCTAGCAAGAGTCTTACAAACCAATAGGGCTCCCCTGAGCTGAAATGTACCTTCTCGCTGTTCCCAATCATGACATATTTCACAAGTTCTGTTAATTTTCTACCGTTTCTGAGAGGGCACAAGATTAGAATTTCATCCCAGTGAGACACCATTTCAAATACCTAGAAAGCCTTGGGAAGGTGCTGATCCCGTGGGCCACCTTTCCTGCACGGAGCTCCCATGCAACAGGACGGAGCTTTGCACCCCTACATCTCCTGGTGGGTTCAGCGGTTCCCCACTCCCAGGTCCTTGAGGAAACGTTGCCAGGGCCCAAGAACAACGCGTGTCACCCCCTTCCACCAGGCCACCCCGCACGATACCTGTGTGGCTCCTCATGTGGATCTTGAGGCGACAGGCCTTGTCGTACTGCTTGTTGCAGCCGGGGAAGGAGCAGGAGAACTGCTCCTGCTCCCTGAAGTGGGCTCGGTTGTGCGAGAAGAGGGCGCTCACGGTGATGAACGTCCTGTCACAGCCTGAGGAGGGCGGAAAGAGAAGCGGGGGACGTGAGCGGCGCCGGCGGAGGAAGGCCGAGGGGCGCCTCCTCCTCCTCCTCCTCCT